TGTCTGACAGCATCCCTGTCCACAGCCCTGTCCACAGCCCTGTCTGACAGCATCCCTGTCTGACAGCATCCCTGTCCACAGTCATGTCTGACAGCATCCCTGTCCACAGTCATGTCTGACAGCATCCCTGTCCACATCCCTGTCCACATCCCTGTCCACAGCCCTGTCTGACAGCATCCCTGTCCACAGCCATCCCGCTGGAGAGCACAAGGCACTGAGTTATCCACGCGATAAACCTGGCACAGCCACCACACCCAACGCAGATCAGGCAACATCTGGCACCTCCAGGGTCCCCAAAACACAGGTCATGGCCAGCAGCTTAGGGCCGAGGAAAGACCTAACTGGGACGAGATCCAACAGCAGCCCATGATGCCCTGTGTGACAAGGGGACAGTGATGGAAGACCTGAGACATGGCAGGGATCAGCAGCACATGCCAGGGGCACCAGCCTTAGACCAGCTTCCATGTCTGAGAGAACAAACTAATTAGTCATCATAAATTAGCAGGGCTGGTTCACTGAGGTACCTGAGCATGGACGGGGTTTAATTGGCCTTTCCCACTGCTCCACTTCAAACCCCATAAATCCCGATTAGGATTCCCGTTGGTTAATGACTGCTGGGAAATGCTAATTCAGCGCAGGCACACGGCTCTATCTCCACATCACAAGCAAGTTTCATCATAAATCAGCGTGGGACAGCTCTGTAAGTGATTCACTATTACAATATATCGTGGAGAATCATAAAACTGCTGTTTCATTAATGGCTCATCCTCAGGCCTGTTAGACTTTCATTACGTGAGTTATTAGGTCCATGCATTCAAAAACAAAATTACAGGTTCTAATCCATCACCAAAAACACAAAACCTCTGCATAGTAAATTACTGAAATGAGACAAGAGTTGTTTTTTTTAAATGGACTCCCAGTGTTTGCTGCTCCTGAACAACAGAGACTGCTGAGACAACAAAACACAGCCCGGGCAGATAAATAAATCACCAGTGAAACCAAGCAAGGGGGAGACATGTCATCCAGGCATTCATCTTCCGCTAACGGCAGGATCCCCCGGGCTGCAGGAGCGGGGAAACGCATGGCAAAGTTAATTACACCTGACTTTAAAATGATATTTTTGGACTTCTGCATTCACAGAGTTATTTGCATACAAATAGCATGTCACACAGCTTTATGCCCCAGGCTTGCGTGTGGAGGTGTGAAGGCTCTTGGTGCTGGCCCTCAGTGCTGCGTGGCCAGGGCTCAGCCAGGAGCTGCTGCTCCAGGGACGTGTCCTGCGGCTCTGCCGATGTCCCCAGCCAGCCTCTGCACCGGCTCCTGGTGTGCACTGAGCCAGCTGCTGCCACAGCACTGCCAGCACGGGGACAGTGATGTACGGGTGACACTGGAGGGACTGCTGGAGCACTCGCTCAGCACATTGCTCTGGCTGCAGGGACAGCATTAATTCCTCCTGAATTGGAGATTACTTTCATTAGAGTTACTCAGTTCTTAAAGCCCTTTAGTGTTATTTGATATGGGCATTAACACTCCCTTAAGCCCAGATTTAGGAGTTGGTTTGCTCGCCAGTGACATGGGGACACGTGTGGGTACAGCCCAGGGGAGCTGCTGTCCCTGACGTGGCCCAGCTGTGCCCCACGGCCCTGGGAGACAGCACAGCCCCCCCAGCCCCACCACCCCGTGGGTGCTGGGCAGCAGCAGTGCCTCGCCCCGAAGGAGTTAACTGCTCACCAGCACCTTTCTGAGCTCTGAATTATTAATTTTGTTATAATCTGCCTTTGGGCGCCCCGCGGCCCCTACAACACTCCCACATTAAAGAAACATGCGCTCCCTCACAGGCTGCGCCGCTTTGATGTCAAACACGCGTGAAACACTCTCCCAGGGAGAAATCCGTACAAAACCTCATCAGCAGACCGAGATACTGCAGATTGGCGCCGGGAGGGCAGCACCCACCGATAACACCATTGCAGCCCCGGCCCCACAGCCCACAGAGCAGCTCCGGGTCAGTCCCTCCCTGCTGCAGCCTGCTGTGTGCGGAGGCTGGAGGCTGACGTGTGTCATCCTGGGCTCCATCCACCCAGCAGCATGAAACAAACTGTTTGATTTGGCAAAAAATCCCGAGTGCCTGCTCCTGTGACGAGGGCTCTGCGCTTCCCCTCTCCCGGCTGATGTCACCAGCAGAGAAGGGTGGGCTGTGAGTGTGTCTCCAGCTGCAGCTCCACGAGTTGGAGATGAGCACAGAAAGCACAGGAGTCAGCACAGGAGTCAGCACCGGCCCCAGCTCCCTGCAGGACTGTGCCACGCTGTGCCATGCCATGCCGTGCTATGCTGTGCCACGCCGTGCTATGCTGTGCTGTGCCACGCCATGCCATGCTGTGCTGTGCCATGCTGTGCCACGCCGTGCCATGCTATGCTGTGCCATGCCACGCCGTGCTATGCTGTGCAGTGCCATGCCATGCCATGCCATGCCATGCCATGCCATGCCACACCATGGGTGTGCTCAGCTGACAGCAGCACCTGCTCCCACCCGGCCCCCTCTGCTCAGCAGGACAAGGAGCAGCAGTGGGGGATGAAAGCTCCAGCGAGGCTACAGGGAGGCTTAAGCAAAACTGGGTCAAATGTGGGAAACCAAAGTGTGAGGAAGACAAAAAGCTCTCCCCAGCTGAGAGACATTGCAGCAGCCCTGGAGGGCACAGGGACACCCTGCCTGAGGGCTGTACCACAGCCAAGAACTGCAAGGGGCTGAGGGGACAGAGGGGATCCCCCGGTGCTGCTCCACAGCCCTGTGTGACCTGCAGGCAGCACCGTGGGCCAGGGACCAGCTGTGCTGACAGGAGGGCCCCGCGATGCCGAGTGGGACAGACCGGCTGTGTCCCCCAGCCTGTAGTGACAGCACCATGGCCACAGCTGGAAACACCACCCAGCAGCAGCTGGCCTGGCCCCACAGCCCCTCTGCCACAACCCTGCACTACAGCAGCCAGGATTTAATGATGGAGCGGCTGCCTTTAATAAATGTTTATTATGTTCAAAGAATTTACACCAGTGCTCTTAGACGGCTAATGAGGGACGTTTCCATGCATAAAAGCAGAGCGAACACAGTAATTAACTTTGTTGCTGATTCATTTTTAATCATTTAAATGCTCCAGAGACTTGCACTGTCCTTTAAGTCAAGAGATTCTTTTCCAAAGGGCACACTGGAGTAGCCCTTCACAGACACACACACACTCCTACCTTCCTAAATAACTGTCCAGCACTGACAGAGGGTCTGCCAAAGGCCAAGGCACTGGGGTGGGAGGCTTCCCACACAGCTTGTGCAGAGCCCAGCTCACAACCCCGCTGGCAGGTACTGTGCTCATGGAGACAGGCAGGACTGCTGCCCACAGGCAGCATGGGCACGGCAGTGCCCAGGGAACACGCTGCCAGGGACACCTCCTCACACAACAGTCTCTGACAGGGGTTCCATGGCCATTCCCGAGAGCCAGGGCACTCTCTGAAGTCAAGGAAATTTCAAAGCATCCTTGAAGCTTGCTGCCTTTCTCTCTTCTCACTAATTAACTTTACCAAAATGCACTGTCAGTCAAGCCCACACACACTCCCTGTCGCTGGGCAAAGCCTAATGGGCTCCCGTTTGTGTGTGAGCCAGCCCAGCAATTAGCAGGGAACGATTAGCGGGGTGGAGCGGGAGCGGCTCTGCCGGGTCCCTTCTTGCTCTCCCTCGGGTCCCGGTCGCAGGGACACCTCGATGCTCCCAGCTGGCAGGTGTGTTCCCCAGGACAGCGCAGGGGCCACCTCTGCCAGGCCAGCAGCGCTCCTCGTGCTGCTGCAGCACTGGGAGCACCCCAAAACCAGAGGCAAGGCGAGGGTGGGGGTGGCAGGCAGAGCCCCAGCAGTGACGGTGCTCCATGGACCTGTCCCAGCAGCACATGGGGACGCTGGGCTTCCCCAGTGCCATCTCTGGGACAGGATTCAGGCAGGTGGGGCCGTGGGCTGGCTGGGAGCCAGGCTCAGTCTGTCACGGGATCCACAAGGAAAAGCTCCTCTCTGTGAAAATAATGCTGGAGTGCCTGACAGGCTCACTCAGGAATCCCAAGGAGGAAAGCTGCACCCCAAGATGCTGCGATTAGAGTCACTGCTCAAAGTTAACTGCAATTTAAACGACACAATCTTCCCTGTGTTCTGGAAAATATTGAAGGTTATTGGCCCACACTACTTGCAGCAGGAAAAAGCTCAATATTGAACATTTAGTACAGAATTGGTAATGAATCGATATTCCCCAGTAGCTGCTGTTTGGTTTCAGTTGTCTTAAAACAGACCTTGCTAAAAATATCTTTCCTGTAGTGTATCTGTAGCTAATGAGGTGGATTAGAGACTGATGGGAACTGAAAATGGTGCAGGGGCTCTGGGTCTGGAGTCAGTGAGTGAGCAGATCCCGGGTGGGGGTCCTACCTGGGGGAAGCTGAAGGGTCTGGCTCTGCCCTGCACAGGGGGAAGCCGTGGCTGCCCTGGGCCATGACAGGATCTAAGGCAGGAGGCACCACGAGAGCAGCAGCTGTAAATAAGCACGACATTTGGAGCGGCAAGGACACGAAGATCAGGAGATGTCCCCTCCCACTGGCTTTACCATCTCTGCACCAGATAAATGCCAGGACAGGGGAAAACACGGGAACACAGTAACCAACATTAGGAGAACAAGTCTCTGCTCGTACCAGGGAACGGCTTTGCCTTTCAAAGGGGTCTGTGTCCCAGGCTGTCTGCAGAGATCCCTCTCTACCATGGCACTCCCCAAGCACAGCAGCATCTGCTCTCTCCAGCTGGCAGCTGGAAGACAGCCCCAGCCAGGCCAGGTGCAGCCCTGCTGGGGTGCTGCAGGCAGCCCCTCATGGCTCCCACAGCTGCTGTCCCCATCCTCAGCTCTGTCCTTTTTGGGCTGGCAGGACCCTGCTCTCCTGCTCCCCGGGCTCTTGGCAGAGCAACAGGAGCTCATCGTGCTGTGGTTAGACTTGCTCCACATTTAATTGCTCCACTTGCAAGGAGGAAAATCAATTCCACATTTTATACATAAGCAGCCTCTGTGCTTAAGTTTTGGCACATTTGTCAGGCTAAAAAAAAAAAAAAGGTAATAAAACCAAGGAAGTGTCATTTAATTGTTTTAGCTGAACTAATTTGGAGGCTCCAGTGCGATCTCTCCATCGATCCAGACGCAGAGCCAGGCCCTGGGCAGCACGCTGCTCACCCAGCCACGCTGCCAGCACTGCCCCTGCCTCACTCCACAGCCACCCTCGCTGCTGCCACAGGCTGCATCGCTGCTGCCACAGGCTGCATCCCTCCCAGCCACAGTCGAGTCTGTTCACATGGAAGATCCCAGGCTGAGCCTTGGCTCGGGGGGTCATCTGCTCGGCCGCACACTGCCACAGCCCCTCAGTGCCAGGTGTGAGGCAAGGGGGCACGGCTCCTGTCTCCTGGACCAGCATCACTCCTGGTGCCCACAGGTGCCCAAGGCAGGGTCTGTCCTGGGGCACAGCCCCTTCCCTTCACTCAGGGCAGGCCCTGTGTCCTGAACCTCCTGCAGGAGCAGTGTCACAGGTTTGGTCCTGTGCTGCCACTGAAACTCCCAGCCCCACGTTCCCCACGCCCACCCTGCACAAGGGAAACAAAAAGCCCAGATCGCTCACAGACACAAGGATTATGGGGGAAGGGGGGGGGCCAGCTCAGGATTTGGGGGAGCTGCTTCCCAGCAAGGTGCTGAGCACCTCTGAGTGAGGGGCTCAGCCAGGACCCATATTCTGCTCTATCACCTGTCCTGCCACTCTGACTGCTCTTTAGAGAAACCACTGTCCTTGCACGCCTGTGCTGCAGGGCTGCTCCCAGCTGCTGGCTTTTAGGGGATGCAGGATGGGTGACAGTGCCTGATGTCAGGGGGAGGATGAAGGAACGACACAGACCTGCCAATCGGCAAGAGCAGGAGAAGGACACTGCTGCAGCTACTCTGTAAAGGGCAGGAGGAACTAGGCATGCCACAGGAGAGGTGAAGGGCTTCAGCAAGCTCCATGTGTCTGTCACGGCTCTTCCATCACCTGCCACGACTACCACCACAAAAGGAGCTGAACATTCCCAGCTGCAGGGTCTGCCATGACCCCAGAGAGCTCTCCCTGTGCAGTGCCTGAGCTTCCTCCCTGGGCACAAGCCCCAGCCATCAGAACCCCAGCAGAGCTGGGAGGGCGCACTGTGTTTGTCAGCCCATCACAGTTCCAGCTTTGGAACTGGGGACAGCTCTTTGGGAAACCACTGCCAAGACAGAGGGCAAGCAAGCTCGGTGGAGCCCCTTGGGCTGCCTCCACCACCCACCATGATGCTCCGACACACGGATAATTACAGGGTCCTTTACCCTGCTGTGAGCCCACAGGCACCAGGCCAGGCTGAGCCCTCTGCCTGCTGAGGATGATGCCCAGAGGAAGCCCCACGGCCCTGCCCACACCCAGCACTGTACAACAGCACAGCAAACACCTGCCAGTACACTGAGTGGGAACCCCAGGGAGCTGGGAGTGAACTCCTGGGAGCACCACAGGCAGGAGGGGACCGCATGGGTGCTGTGAGCCGTTCACAGCAGCGCTCGCTACCTCTCCAGGAGCACCTAGAGCTCCTCATAAAAGCCTTTACCGAAGTTAAAATCCCATCATCTCCTGCAGGAGACACACTTGCGTCCTCTACAAATTATTAAGAGACTCCAGACAATGCCACAGTTATTTGAGTTCAGAGAGACAGGATGACAGAGCATAGGGACCACTCTTCTCACAGAGCCAGCAATCGAGCCTGATGGCAGAGGGGTGCAGGGTCGCATCGAGTGTGGTTGGGGGAGGATCTCAAGCCAACTCGGGCGTGTTTTGGAGGGCCCTTCACCCAGGTAAGTGTCTCCTCAGACGGGATGGAAAACCTGTATTCGTCCAGGCTCTGAGTGCCGACCGGCAAGCCTGGGCCTCAGTGGGCTGCAGTCGCTCGCTCCGAAGGGACCGAGCCGTGACCCACTCGGCACTGCGGGAAGAGGAGGTGAAGGGAAAACTCCAGAGGGCGACTGGGCGACAGCCTCCTCCGGCCGCCCGCCGTACCGGTCCGGCCGCTCCCGCCCCGCCGACGGACCGAGGGATGCGGACCCGAGTCCGCCGGGAGGGGAGGGGAGACAGCGGCGGGGAGCGGGGTGGCAGGTGCGCGGGGTGCTGGGGGAGTGTCGGGACGGGGGCTGACCGAGGCGGAGGGTGCCCGGCGGCCAGGGAAAAGGGATGCTCGGGGCGGGCGGGGGCCGTTCCCGCAGCCCCCCGCCCTCACCTGTACCACTCCAGCCCGCGGTGATAGTTCCTGTCGAAGAAGTGGGGCTCGGTGCCCAGCGCGCGCACGTCGGGGTGCACCCGGATGAACTCCAGCACGGCGCGGGTACCGCCCTTCTTGACGCCCACCACGATGGCCCGCGGCAGGCGCTTGGTCCCCGGGCGAGCCGCCCCCGGGGCGCTGCCGGCCGGCGGGGCGGGGGGTTCGGCGGGGGGCGGCCGCCCGCACGGCCGCGACTGCTGCAGAAGTTTCTTGGCGGCGGCGGCGCGGACGGACGGGCAGCGGGCGCGGGGCGCGGCGGAGCCGCCGCAGCAGCACAGGAGGCTGTAGCAGAGGTACGAGCAGGACAGCGAGAGAGCGAAGAGGACGAGGACTCTCCGTGCCAGCCGCCGGGACGGAGCCGGAGCCGCGGCCGGGGCCCGCCCGCTCGGCGCCCTACGCGCCATGGCTCCATGGGGCCGCGCCGCGGGGCACGGCGCGCCCCGGCCCGGCGCCCCCCGGCCCGGCGCCCCGGCCCCGGCGCGGCCGCTCCGGCATCTCCCGCGGCTACGCGGGGACGCGGCCGGGCCGCCCCGGGGCGCTGCGCCCGCCCCGGCCCCGCCGTGCCCGCCGCCCCGCCGCGGCCATCCCCGCGCTCGGGCGGCCGCGGCTCCGCGCTGCCTACGCGGGAAGTGTCGGGGCAGCGGCGGCTGCGCCGCTATTTAAGGGGCCGCCTGACGTCAGCGCATCCCGGAGCCCCCGCGGCCGCTCGGCGGCCGCTGCCTCCCCCGGGCCGGGCCGGGGGCACCGCCGCGCAGAGCGCTTCTTCCCGGCGCCGGGCTGCCACGGGGCTGGGGCGGCTCCGCTCCGCGCCGAGTCCTGCCCTGCCCGGCCCCGGTCCCGGGGCGATCGCCCGATCCTCGCCTCGCCGCCGGGGCCGGAGGCTCCCGCTGTCCTGCCCGGCTCTGCCCCGTTCTGCTCCCGCAGCCATCCCTGAACCGGCCGGAGCAACGGTGCGGGGCCGGGGGCACCCGGCGCAGCCGGGCCGAGAGCGGCACCTGCCGCAGTCCCGCAGCCCCCACCCGGGAGCAGGGACCGGCACCAGCACCGGAGGGGTTTGAGCAGCCCCCGTCGGGAAGCGGCAGCCGGGGCTCGGGGCACGGCCGGTCCCCGGGATGCCCCTGCCCGGTGCCGGAGCCGCAACCAGCAGCCCCCGTGGGGAGCGCGGCGGGGCCGCCCCACGGCAGCAGCCGCTTCTGTCCTCAGCAAGGGCAGAAGGAGCAGCCATCGGCCGCCGCGGTGCCGCCGGTAAGTAGGAGAGAAAAGCTTCAAAGTGATGCAAGAATTAAATTTCACTGCCAGACTGGGGCCGCTCAGCCCCACCTGTCCCAGGTGTGATGCCTCACAAGCAGGCTGATCCGGGAAGCCCACTGGCTGTCTCAGGATATGGGTGCAGCCTGCTCCATCCCCACCTCCGGCTCCCCCTTCTCCCTCTCACCCCGCAGCCCAGGCTTTCACTTGGCTGCTCCTGCTGAGCAAAAGGCTGCGTGCGGCACCGCTTAGACACTATCAACCGTCACTCCTGCTTTCTCAGCACTGGGAGCTTGTTCAGCTGCAGAAAACTACTTTTCTTGTTCCTTGGGAAGAATGATGGTAATAGGGAGAGACAGGCAAGAAGTGCCAGCCCGACGCAAATGAGGATGCTGCAGGCATCCAGTCTAGGGCAGGAACAAGGTTTCCTCCTGTACAACACCCAGAACTCGGTGCAGATGTAAGGAACAATAGAGAAGAACTGAAAAGCCATGCTGCCTGCAGCTTCTCACCTGGGCTGCTGTTGGGAGCAATGGCACTGCTCCTCTCTGGGAATGGAGTTTCTTAGGGAAGAAAGAGCCTACTGGCTTGGGAGAGCTTTGGATCTAGAGGATAGGCTGAGTCCTCGTGGGGCTGAACCCGAATGACCCCCAGGGGTTTTGCTTTTGAGACCTTGTGTCCAGATGCTCTGTATGGCAACAGCTTCTGCCCAGGAGGGCTGTGTCCTGGCCTCTCTATATGGGTCAAGCTAGGGGGCTGGAGCCATGTGCCCAGCACCAGCCTGGAGGAGCCAGATGGCACTTGGCGATCCCTGGCTGGTGTGAATGTACCCAAGGCTGATTCTCCCACTGCCTGTTCCCCCTGCAACAGTGCTGGACAGAGCCCTGGCACTGACAAACCCTATGGGGCTTCAGCCCCCTGGCTGGAGGATGCTGCCCTGCCTGGGCAACAGTAGAAGGGTGGGGGTACCCGAGGGGCAGGGCACTGCAGGTTCCTCTTCCCACGGTGGGAAGTGTCCATCACTCAGTTCCTCTCCATGACAAACTGCCAAATCTGTGGAAAAGTTGCTTTTTCCATTTTAGATCACCACCTCCATGTGGTGATCCAGCCTCAGCAGCAGACACATTGCTTAAGCATGAAAATTAGAGGCGTCTGGATAAATAAAGCTGCTGCGGATGCCTTGACACCTCCAGGTTTCTCTGCTTGCAAGGGAGGAATGTTTTGTAAAGCCGACAATTTTACTTCCAGTCTTTGTATCTGCACAGGGCATGTCTTTCCCATGACATGTTTGCTGTTTACACCCCACTCCACATAAACAACAGCTTTCTGGTGCCATCGGCACACTCCCGGCCCTGCCGCTTGTGCTGCCAGAGCCCTGGGAGCCAGTTCCTGGTGGGATCCCCAGCAGGGGGAAGCCAGGCACTGGCATTGAAGGAGGAAAGAGCCCACTGGATCGCTGCAGGAGATTCCCTCTCCTCAGCCAGCAACTTGAAGCACGGGGCTCGGAGCAAGAACTGCAAGCTCTGGAGAAGGTCACGCCTCGCCCTGTCCCCCTCAGCCGTTCCTGTGATGAGCTGGCACTGCCTCCTGCTGCCAGCCTTATGCCATCCTCTCCTTTGCCTTCTCTACCCCACTGCCCTTAGCCTCTTTTTAGGGTCCCATTAGTGCTCCCACTCCTTGGGTTCCTGGCTCTCTTCCCAAGTGGATCTTTCCCATCTTGCCTCCTTCATTGCTCCCAAGCTCTCCAGTCTCCTGCTGGGCTGGGATTTACCAAAACAGCTGGAGACTCCACTGTCTTGCCTGGCATTAACCCTGAAGGATCCCCAGCGTTCTGTGCCTCCCAGGCCACTCACAGCTCATTGCAGCTCCTGAGTGCTGGTTTGCCCAGGGCAGTTTCTCCAGTATGGCCCTGGTAACCTGTCCTGCTCCTCCATGCCCAGAGCAGCACCCAGCTCATGGGACTGTGGGACTGTGACACCCATGACACAAACACCATGGATGGGATTTGGAGCCTGTCTTTAGCTCTCAGCCCTTTTGCCTTACTTCCTCTCCAAGGGGCTTATCACCCGTACCATGAAGTAACAGCAGCAGGAACCAGTGCCAGGAGCTCCTAGCTCTGCGGGTTTTCCATGGAGGACCTGGACCAGGGCTCATCCCAAGCACAGGCAGCTGCCAGGCAGGCAGAGGGAAAGCTGGACGAGTGTAGGGATCAGGGGATTATTACAGAAATACACAGCGTTTGTGCCAGGAGCACATGGAACCTGAAGGAAAAGAGAAGCAATAAAATACACGCTGGAAATAGCAAATAAGATTAAAGGTGGTGTCCTGCCCGTGATGTCTCCAGGTTGTAGGCAGAAGAGAACAAGGTTAGAATTTATTTCCAGAGCCAAAGAAAGCCCTTGGGAATGAAGTGTCACTGTTAATCTGGTTTTCTGTGTCTAATATGTATGTCATTAACAACCTTTCATTTCTGGGCCAAAAACTGCCACTTCCCCTTGTGCAGAGGCTGGGCAGTACGTGTACGTGGACAGGGGGATCCTCAGTGCAATGGGGCAGCCAGGGCTGAGCTGCTTCAGCCTCATGACCCTGAAACAGGTGCCTGGTCTGCAGCTCAAGTGCCTCCCTGTTCTCCCTGTCCTGGCAGGAAACTTGGAGCTGGAAAAAGGACATCTGGGCGTTTTGCAGTGGGACAGTGGAAGAGAGGGATGTCGCTGAGCCAGAGCCAAAGGCAGCAGTGACGAACCAGGAGGGTGCAAGGATAGGGGTCAAAGCTGATGGTGCTCAGAGAACTGCTGCACATCAGCAGGACACGGTGGACATTGTGAGGGGGCATGTGCCAGCAGGACCCAGCCATTCCCAAACACTGTGAGCATGCTGGGTGTGCATCCTCACTCCCAAAGGCTCCACCATCCCTGCAGCAGCCATCAGCACTCATGTGGTTCTCCCTCCCTCCCTCCCTCCATCCCTTCCTCTCCTTTGGTGGAGCCCTCACACCATCCTGGTCCAGTGAGAGCCCCAGGCTTGGTGCAGAGGATGGAGGTGATGCTCAGTCCCATCAGCTAATGACACTTCAACTGCCCTGGCCCCAGAGCTCCTTCTGAGGGCTGATCTCAGCTCCCACAGCCCCCTGGCTCATCCCCCACCCAACCCAACGCTGGCTGGCACATCTCCCAGTGCTGCAGTGTGGGGTCTCCCAAGGGCAGTGGAGTCCCAAAGTGCCCATCAGACAGCAGAGTGGGAGCACAGGCTTTGGAGCTGCCTCGAATCGAGTCTGAACTCCTGTTAAGCCTTGTTAATCAGTTGTAAATGCACTGTATTCCCAATAAGGCCAGAAACAATAAATTTAATTTTGACTCTGACTCAAGCTACTTTGGTCCTAATTCCGAGCTTCCTGCCCACCCAGAGCAGCCAGCTCTGGCCACGCTGCACAAACTCATTTGATTCTGAAATGCATTTTTAAGAAGGATGGAACGGTGCTTAAAAGCTAAATGGCTTCCCCCAGCTGTAATCACTGCTTGGGAGTCCTGGAATGAAAGGGATAAAGTCTGGGGGAGGGGGGAGGTTTTAATCTCGCTGAGTAGATTACAGAGATTACTGCAATTTAATCCTTACATATCTGTCACTGACGCTGCAAAGACCATAACCGAGGTGGGCAGGGGTGCACCGGCACCCTCCGAGCTCCTGCCCCTGGCAGCAGGGGCTGTGCTGCAGCTCTGCCACCCACCACACCAGGGGCCACGGCTGTTCCCACCGGGATGAGGTCCAGCAGGCACCGACCCCAGCACTGCATCCAGCAGATGAAAATGAGAATGCCAGGCTGGGCTGAGCCTCTGTGACCACCTGGGCAGTGGGGGCACAGTGGGGGACAGGGGCTGAACCCTGCCTGTGGGGCTGGGTACCTGCGGGCTGTGCTCGGACTGGAGATATAGCAGGACCCGAGGAAAACGAGGGAAGGGAGCAGGCAGTGCAGGCAGGGCAAGGTGACCCACAAGGTCCCAAGTCCTTGCCCCAGGGAGTGGTTGGATCCTCCCTCTCTCCCCCACCAGCATCCTTTCTGCCCTGGAGGGAGCCAGAGCCACCTCCCCGGTGTCAGAGGGCTCCAGGCAGCCCTGCAGGGTCTCTCAGTATCAGGCACTGTGTGAGCAACGCAGAAAAT